CGTAACGATAACGATTTATCCTCAAACGATTTTAAATATTTGTAATTATTCAAAATGTATAAGTCGTAGATGCTTGAAAATTTCACAAGTTATTTAGATTGGCATTTTCTTTACATGATTTAATTTCCAAAATATTTTGMSTTTTTTTGAGATATTTATAGACAACTAAAATTTTCAATTTTACTAAAAAAATTTTTTGAAGTGTCGATAAATTAATTTTGGCCATATAAAAATACTTGAAAATTGCATGGTGGGTAGAATATACTTATATAAACATTCGGTGAAAATTTCATGTATCTACGGTCATTTGTTTTACAGTTACATCAAAAACCAGATTTTTTCGAAAAATAAGTGTGCGCAAAATTTTCCGTTTTTCACTTAATTTTTAGTTTGTTTTTCTCGATTATTTAGAAAAGTATTAAGAATTTTTTACTTTTGACCCCCCAAAGAACCAACTAGATTCACTTTCTGATGAACGAAGTACTGAAGTCAAAAAATCGAAGCTCTTTTACTGCCCCAAAACGTGATTACAGACACAAAAAAAAAAACACATCATGGTAAAATCAATACATTCATCGCTCCGCTCAGAATCTAAAATAAGTTTTAATAATCTCATTGCTGGAAGTTCTTAACATATCAGTAATTGATTTAAAAATTTAACGAACAGACTAATTAAATGAACCAGATATTATTGGCTTGTAAAAAATATATGGTTGGTTTTTTTTTAATGTTAAGTTTTTAAAATACTTGCTTACACATAACTTGTGTGTAAATGGGAGAATAAATTGTACCTGAATGTCTCAAATACGAACAACATCGACGAATAATCAGGCTACATAGTAGCAATGAGACCTAACATCGAGGAGAATCAGAAAAGGTGATGCAATTTTTAAAAGCAACAAGCTTCTACAATTTTACTAAAAAATATGTAAACTATTTTTATATACATACAACCTTTTTTTTTTTGTTCTGTATAAAAAAAAATATATTATAACTGTAAATACCCACCTACTTAAATTGTGACTAATGGCCAAAGCTGCCGAGTGTTTCGATCAATAAAAAAAAAAGTCCTACCTATTTGAATGCCATGTATTATGTTTTGGGTAAACCAAACTTAAATATTATTACAATGTTCAAAGTTTTTAAATGCATTGGAACCCAAGTCACGACTAATAAAGGATTTAAATATACATTTTTCCATTTGGCTATGTGTCCCACTGAATATTAAAAAATACACATGGCTTTCGGCCACCGAGTTTATGTTTAGGAAACAATTATAGATCAGTCACAGTCGAGTCTCGATAACTCAAATCAATTGGAATCAAAAATAAATTCATCTGATGTATTTTTGAGTTATACCTTTCAGACACAACTTAAAAACAATTGAAGGGTCAAGATAAAAGGTGCAGTGTTGTACATTATCTAAATAAAAATCTCTTTTTATCTTTATCTACTCCGAGGTTATCTGAGTTAAATTAACTAAACAACTTTCAATGACTAGATTTCAAACTTTATTTTTATATATATAGGTAAATAATTTGAATTTTATGTCATGAGGAATGAGATGTTCAATTTTGTATGGTAGGTATTGCCTCTCGCATGTTTATATTTTTTACTCGATTTTCTCTAAGTTATTTTGATCGATAGTTAATCGGATTTAATAGGTATACACGTAATTTAGTTTAATATATACCTATTCGAGTGTAAAATTTGAAATTTTTATATTACGTATAATAATTATAATAATTGTATTTGTAAAATTATATTTACAATTATTTKATATACAATAGTATTTTACAAATGTAATAGTTTTAAACTATACGGTTTCTATCTAGATTAAAGATAAATATAGCTTAAGGTATAGGCATATTATCTATTATSTATTATCTATCTAGGTTACATTTCAATAAACATTCAGTAATGTAGATGATGAAATATAATCTAGCTAAGTTAAATTTTTGGTTATCTTTGTACAACACGGAGGCAATCATTGTTTCATAAGAAACACAAATATTTCGAAAATATGTTTTACACGATTTTTTAATCAAATCCAAAATCATTTTTATATAAATAAAAAAATAAGTATATTTTATAATATTTTTAAAGATTTTGACTTGCTTAGATAATATCCGTTGCATATTCCAAAGCAGAATTTAATTTAGAGTAATTTGATCAACAAAAATCAGATTTTAAACAATTATTTTATTAATCAGAAGTATCTAAAGTGGAATTAATGAGTGGAGTAATTTTTCTGGTTTATTTGTATGGTAAGAAATTCAGGAAAATGCTATGACATTTTTAATTATCACGAAAATTTCTTCCAAAAAGAGAACCAATATCGACCTATCTGAAGCTCAATCAAAGTGGGATGCTAAAATTTTTTAATAAACATCTAAAATACTCTTYAAACTCTCAAATTAATTTTCTTAAATAATACTCATTTTTACTATACATTCGAGCATAATTCGATAATAGGTCGAATATTACTGTTGTCGTTACACTTTATTATAAATACATAAATCATAAATATATAAATTCGAGATACAACTCCTTCAAGTGAGTTCCATTTCCATCACTACMTTTTGATAGCCTCGTCTTATACARGGAAGCTACTGGTAAGAAGAATTTATACTATTTCATAATTCGTATCGTTGTAAAAAAAAAATTCTAGGTATTAAAATATATTAAGGTATAATAATAATAATATAAAACTTTACTCTTGGGACGACCTGTAAGACGAGACACGTTTTTTCTTGTTTTTCGTATGGTACATGCTTTTGTACTAAGGCGACTTAAGCTCATATAGGTAATGTCAATTTTGTCGAGAACGAGATGTTTGAACCGAATTAAGAACGTCTTTGCGATTACATGCACGCACCACTACATTGAAAGACTAGAACGATTGTTAAAAATTTCAACATTCTGTCCCCGATATTACGTATAGCGATATTATTATATTATTATGTTATAATGTTATATTATTATTATCATCGCTTTGTAATCCAAACAATGGAATAAATGTTACTATATTATCAGTAGGATAAAATAACCGATTCTAAAACATCTTCCTCTTCTTCTTACTCGTCCTATACACCACCCGGTCGCGCACGAATGAGATATGCATTATCTCTCCACCTCTTTCGCTACCGCCAATGGTCGCATACGTCATGCGCGACTTACATTATTGTTATCATATGTTGTTATGATAAATTATATTGCCTCCAACCATAGATCACTCGTAACTAATCACATAATATATTCAAATATCTTATGAAAAATATGCAAAATTTCTGGTTTAGGCTAGAACTGTATGCCTTTGTTGTAATTGAAAATGTCTTAACATAGTTCGGCTCTACTCATTGTACACTTTAAACAAAACTGATATACTTAARGAAATTGTATTTTCTCATATTATTCTAAAAATTCTAAATTYTTGTYAGTAATACGAATATAAAACCCATTAGCGACAATATTAAGTTATATTATATTGACACCTCGTTAATATTGAAMTGTCATTAGGATCTATGACTGCAAGATATGTATCCATTTCTATTRATTCTTAATAGTGTGATTTTAAAATGTATCAATACACGTTTTAATAACCTAGAATATCATTAAGATCTGTATTAATGAATACAAATCATTTCCGATCTATATGTATGCTGGTGGTATTATTTTTAAAATCAGCTTGAAAGTTTTCAAGTGTACCTTAAGATTTTTTAGTTTACATTGATCAAACCACCCAACGTCGGTTTCGATATAAATTTCCGACTCTTAACCAACTCTCCCTGGTATGTCAAAAACCTCAATCTTCACAATGACTTGAAAATTCCAACTATCTCCGAAATTGCGWCAAATCACTGCCAAAAGTTATGTTTTCTAAACTATTAATCATTCAAACCTTCTCATATCTAACCTCTCTTCCCACTCACTC